AGAAGTGTTTAAATTTAAACTAAGACATTAAAATTACATATTCTCTTTTTGAGAGTGTTTGATTCGAGGTCTTTTCTCTATATCTTCTCTTTATTTTTATACTTCCTTGATAATTCCTTCGTGACAAACCGCTTTGAAACTGCTTGATTGCTCTATAACTACCCGCTTTCTTCATGATGGCTACTTGTCATGGAACTGCCGTCTTTAACTGTTATCATTACTCTCGTCGTTCAACCGCCTACAATTGTGATTCTTGGATTATGGGGTGTGATAAGGTTGCTCAATAATCACTTCAATAACTGCTGCTCTGGATAACCATAATACCTTATATTTGTTAAGATCCTGGGCGATTCGAAGGTTTGGGCGAGAATAAACTCGTTCGCTCTAGGCGATCTTAAGGCGCTCCACTCGCTCAGATATTGAGCGTCTTGCAAGTTTGAGCAATGAAGGTACCTACTCGTGGGCCTCTACTGCATTCATTAATGGTCCTATTTGGACCTTCATCCTGGACTTTTTAATTGGGTTTCATCCATTGAGCTACACTTTTTGTATGTCAACAGAAGCTAGTGTCGCATTGTTACGCCAAAGCTATCTATGTCCCCTGCTTACATTGTTACGCCAAAGCTACCCAACGTCGAGTCCATCTCTATTCCCAAATTAGCATCCATGTACTATAGTATTTTCTTTTCATAATGTAGGTTTTGGAGGAACATGAAAGATTTTATCATATATTTTACACAGAATTTCAGTGACTCAATTATGTTATTCGCTTTCATACGCAAGTCTCTACTGGTAAATCACACAACAGAAAACTTAGCATTTGTTTGCTCTGTTTTGTTGAAATTATAGCTGACATTTTAGTCAAGTGAATATTAAAAATACACTTTTCAAGCATGTACGTAGTTTTGAACAAGAAATACAGAGTCAGAAATAAAAATTGTTAATGAACCAGTTTAACCACTGATTTCGTGTCGTCGAGTTGATCGATTTTAATCGGGTTATCTAATTTCTTGTGGCGAATGTCTTGTTTGGTACATTTAGAAAACCTTCCTAATAAATTGACCGGTTCACCAGTCCCCTAGTTTACCCCGTCCAATTAACACGTTGGTTCACTGATTTCTAAGGTGAACCTCGCTAGTTCAAGGCGACTTTAATAACTATGGTCCATATAAAAAAAAGTGCAACGTACTTGAGGTAGAACTGATCTTCTATCTATAGTGAATAGAAAATATGTTGTCCACCGATGATGTGCCACATCGCCGATAGCTAGATCAGTTCTCGTACTTAAGAGTTCAGAATAGCCAGTTGTTTAAAAGCAACAAAGTTATATTTTTTTGAAATATAACTTCAAAAAAATCAGACCCCATTTCATTGTAAAAGTGTATTTTGAAATAGTATATTGATGGAGAATGTGTAATTGAAAAATAAAGAAAATATTTGAATTTATGTGTAATATTATTTTATTAAAAAATGTGCTTTTGTGTTACAATGGTTTGAAGACTTAAGCAAAGGCTACATTTAATGACTAATGAAATATGGTTTCTGAAAACAAAAAGGAATTTGTTCTTATAAGTGAATACTTCTTGATATGTATGAATTCAAAATAGTGTACTAATATCAAAACATATCGGGTAACACATTCAATCAAGTTACATGTACATAAATTTTACATTAAGTTTGACATTCTTGTAACGTGAAATTTTTTTAGACATTGATAACAATAGGGGGTCTCCATGTGTCCATTATGGACACCATTATGGAAAATGTTATGTATCACACCACCTTAAACATGTTGGGATTGTGCCCCAAATTGGA